GATAGCTTCATAGCGAGAGCTGGTCACCAGAGAAACCAACCATGTAATTAGAGGGTTGGAACTTTCAACCCTCTCCCCCAGCCAACATCCAGGAAGGGGAGAGTGGCTGGGGATAGAGTTTAATCACCAATGGCCAATGATTTAATCAACCATTCATACGAAATGAAACTCTGATAAAAACTCCTCAACAATGAGGTTTGGGGAGTTTCTGGGTTGGTGACACATGGACGTGCTGAGGGGATGGTGCTCTTTGAGAGGGCACAGAATCTCTGCACCCTGTTCTTCTCCCCCACCTCCCGTATCTTCCCCTATACATCACTTCCATTTGGTTGTTCCTGAGTTGTATCCTTTATAATAAGCCAATAATCATGTCTTTGAGAGGGCACAGAATCTCTGCACCCTGTTCTTCTCCCCCACCTCCCGTATCTTCCTCTATACATCACTTCCATTTGGTTGTTCCTGAGTTGTATCCTTTATAATAAGCCAATAATCATAAGTATAGCACTTTTCTGAGTTCCTTGAGTCATTTTAATGAATTATCAAGCCCGAGGGAGGGGCTGAGAGAACTCCCCAAATTTGCAGTCTTCTGGGTAGAAGTGTGAGTAGACTGGCATTTTTGGCTGGCATCTGAAGTGGGGGCAGTCTTGTGGAACTGAACCCTTAACCTACAGATTCTGTGCCAACTCGGGGATCTTAGTGTCAGAACTCAATTGACTGTAGAACACCCAGTTTGTATCAGAAAATTGGAGAATTGGTTGATATTTGTAAAACCACATACTACTATCCTTTTTGTATTTTACATTCTGCCATTTTAAAGCCAATAAAATGGCCAGTCATAACTTGACTATTGGATTTATACATATTATGTACCTGAAAGAAATTCCATTATTTCCTTTAAGATGTCTGAGAATACTTCAAAAAGTTCATGGAAAGATGAAATAAAAAAATAATACGAATCTTTCCATGAACTTTTTGATGACACCTTGCATATTTCTTCTCTATAACTTCTCATTCAGGTCAGAACATAGGCAGAAGTGAGAAATAATTTTCTACTGAGTCTACTATGAGCTGACTGGTCTAATGCATACCTTCCATTTATCTGTGTTCTAATTCTGATTGAAAAGCATATCTGCCTGCCACATGTAGGGGAATGTTTACTCAGTGAGAGTTAGAAGAAACAATACTACTGAAAATGTATTTTCAGTATCATAATGAGGCATTACCAGTTGTGATCTCTTTAGGTGAAGGGATAGCCAAGAAAAGATGAGATTAGCCTTGCTTACAAAACTTGGGAGACTTCAGTGACCTTATGATGTTCTCCTGTATTTTGGGAACAGAGTCATCACCTATACTGCAAGTGCTTAAGCTTCCCTGAAAGTAGATTTAGACTAGAAATCTTGCCTATATCTTTTCCAGTCTCATTCAACATGAGGAATTCAGTTTTTACTGTGGAGAAACCTCAGAACTCTGGATAGGGATAAGCATTAGAAGAGACCATCTTCCTTTAGGACTTACTTGGCCAGGTGGGGCAGGGGACAGGGGCATGGCTGGCAGAACCGGGGTGCTCCTGTGATGGAATCTCCAATAAAACCATCCAGACATTTTTCACAGTGCTCTCCTGTTGTGTTCCGTTGGCAGTGCTATGAGACAAAAGACAGGAGATTTGCAAGGACACAAAAGAAATTTTATAGACAGCAAATCTAGGAACCAAGCAATATTTGAAGCAAAAGGAATGAAAGGCTTGACAGAATAGATGGTGTGGGGCAGTACTGGTCAGCACAAAGGAGCCATGTTGGCCCCAGCCAATGCTAGGAAGTGTGGACAAGTGGTGGATGAATTCATCCTGGACTTCTGTGAGTGCACTAGAAGCCTGGGGACTCTCTTTAGAGTGTGTGTGTGCAAAGGGGATTATTCATCAGTTACTCATTTCAATTCAGAATGCTAATTAGAATGATAAAAGCCTGGATGTTTCAGAAGCATCAGCTTACTGACTTGGAGTGAATATGAAATGAAAAAACAAAGAAGCAAACAATATCTCCCTGGTGCTTACCCATGACAATGGGAGTTATAAGGATTTATGGGCTTGGAGGAACAAAATGTATCAGACTGTAGCATAAATGGAGTAGAAGGTAGATAAAGAGCATTCTGCTAATGCGTTGGTATCTTGGATAGCGACACACAAGAAATAGTAAGCAGGTCTGTTTGCATGATTTTTCCATTTATGTTGAGGATGACAGGAAGAAAGCACAAAACAGGCTGATCCTTCTGCCTGGAATGCCTGTTCATCATTCGAGATCTGCGCTAGGCTTCAAAATCTCCTGGAAGTCCCCTCTGATTTTCTCTTCCTGAATCCCTCCCTCTTTGCACTACCCACATAGTATTGTTAACTGTTCCCCACCTTGGCACCCCCTCCCCAATACACTATCTTTGGCACCAGCACTATATTGCCATGAACTTGAATGGCGTAGGTACTCAGTAGCTATCGAGCTGATGCATTAATTTCTATAAGAGGCAGTGAAGCTAATACACAGACAGCTCTCTCCCATGGGACTGGACTGGAAGGCACAAGGCAATACCAGTAACAGTATGATATTTTCATCTTTCATTCTCCAGTATACATAAAGGTTGAATCAGGTTTTCAGTGAAAGATTATACTGCTAGAATTAGAATAGCATTGAAGAGGCACCCTCCTACTTGAACAATTGTTTTAGTAACACACATACACAAGAGCTTCCATGGAACAAATGTTTTCAAGCAGTGCTCTGAAGGGGAACCTTGGGGAAGGCAAGACGGAGGAGCCATGGGCTGAAGTCTGAGCTCTTTATTTTTGTCTTTATGCTCTATTTGAGGTTCAGAATGAAATAAGAGTCGCTGCTCTTAATATTTATATGGATTGACTAATTTTATTCTCACAACAACCTTGACATAGGTTCTTATTTCCCCTCCATTTTACATATGAAGAGATGAAGGCACAGAAAGGTCAAGTAAATTGCTTAATGTCACACAGATAGTAGGTGGCAAAAGTGAGATTCAGATTCAGGCAATCTGGCTCCAGAGGTGAGGCTAATTTCCATATTGCATTGCTTCTCCAACACTGTTAGAGAAAAGGCTCCTTCTGTAAACAGTCACAAAATGACTGCATTAGAAGATATCAGACTATTTTACTGTTTAGCAGTTTGAGCTTCAAATGAAGCACAACACATCAGTTAAAAGAGAGAATCCGGAGGATGGCTGGTTATCTAAGTGGTTAGAGCATGGTGTTATAACACTAAGGTCAAGGTACTGGCCAATCACCAAAATAAAAAAAAACAAAACCAAACAAGCTAGCCTGGTTGAACACTCTTCAGGCATCTGAGATCAGCAATTAGGGATGGACAATCTTTGGCCCCTGAACAGAACTATATCAGCAGAATAAAATTTAGGGGCTAGCTCAGACAGCCTGACAGATCAATGAGAAACTCTGAAAAATAAAGTATGATATTCAGACAACAGGATGTTAACACATTTCCCTCATGGTTTTTAATACTGTGTTTTGCGTTGTCAGTCTTCAGGAAATATTTGTTGGGAAAAAAATGAAGGAAAAGGGGAAAGGATGAATTAATGAATTAGTGTCTGTGGCAAATAAAGGAAATTAACATTCACCCAAAGCTAGTTCAAAATTGGTGGCGGTCTCTCATCCAGGGAAAACCAATGAGCCTTACCCAACCACCACGAACCTAAGCCGTAAGCAATCTGGCAGGGCTGCTTGTAGACTGGGGCCAAATTTGTTTGAGTCCTTTTGGATAGATAAAGCCCATCTGTGCAGAAGAAAGCAGGCCTGTTGTAAGATGTTAGGCCATTATTTGTGCCCAAAGTGACTATTAAGCTGCAAAAATGAGCTAATTCCCAATTCTGTCTCCTTATGGCCCGATGGATGCTTTGGATGCCTTGTCAGGGCTTTAATTCTGCCATGGCAGCCACGGGGAGCAATTATCCTCAAGTGCAAAGCCACCAATCTCTCCAGACCTTTAAATGCTCAGAGTGCGAATAATGACTTTCCTCATCTGCCTTCTTTCAAAGGGTTTGCTATGAAATTCCCTAAAAGGCATCAATACACATTCTGGGAGGTTGGCAGAGAGAGAGCTGGAGGCAGGGAGAAAAGGTCCCTAGCTCTTCTGTTTTCTAGCTGGTTGACTTTGAACAAGTCACTTGGCCTTCTTGGGTTTCTACTCTTGTCTGTAAAAAGAAGATTTAGACAAGATGGCCTGTCAGGTTTCTTTTGGCTCTGAAAATCTTTTACTCTGAGATTGCAAAATGTCTCTTTACCTTCAATGCTCTGCCATTTAAAAAGCAAAAACCAAAAATGGCAATACGTAAGTATGTTGTTGGGGGGAAAAGTTTATATTTTAATAAAACTGACTCCACTTAAAAACAATAAGCATTCTGAATCTTTTGCCAATGGTTAAGAAAGCTACATCTAGACAATCGATGGCATATAAGTGTTAGGAATGACATTTGGGCACCAGCTGTGTCTCCTCCAAAGGAGAAATGATGTCTGTCACCTACTTGGTCACAGCACCAGCATAATGTGGGAGGAAGGTCCAAAAGAATCAGGTAAGCCTTTGTGTGGTTGTGTCAGCATGCTTTATGTAGGACTGGTTCCATGGATCTCTCAAAGTACGCCCAGGGAGCTCAAAACTATTTCCAAAATAGTACTAAGGTTATGTTTACCTTTTGCATCCTCATTTTCTCATGTATATAAGGTGAGGTATTCTAAAGGCTACACAGACACGAGATATTACCACAGACTGATGCAGAAACAGGAGAACCCCACTGCCTTCTATTAAGGCAACATTAAACATATTTTCACTTTGAAAAATATGTTTGTGTTTTATAAAAAGATATTTATCTTAAAATGCAATGGGTTTATTATTGCTATTTTCAAATAAATTAATAAGTATTATAAAAATCTTTTAGTTTAAATTTCAAGTGTAATAAATATTGATAGATATAATCTACATAAACAAAAGCTCTTTGGTCTCTTTAATAATTCTTAAGAGCCTAAAGGGTTTATGAGACCATAAAGTTTGAGTACTGTTCTGTGCTTAGATCAAACACTTAAACTTCAATGTTCACACAAATCCCCTGGGGATCTGGTGAAAATACCGAATCTAATTCAGTATGTCTGGGGTGGGACCTGAGCGTCTGCATTTCTAATAAGCTGCCAGATACCGCCAATGCTGCTGGTGTAGACCACACTTTAGAAGCAAGGGGCCAGATAGAAACACCTATTATTGGCAGCACTGTTTCCCAGTTACTCAGGGTTGGACCCAAGCCTGAGTTTCCAGTATAAGACAGTACATTCTATTGCAATACAGGTATGACCCAAGAACTCCATAAATTACAAAATTAAAGGATTTTGCATTTAGGTTAGTTTGTTATTTTAGTAACCAATGCATTCATTCACTTAACAAGGCTGGAGCAAGCTGATGTCATGACAGACAATGAGCCGTGGCTGTTATTAAAATGAAGAAAGCCTGGTTCCTGCCTTTGAGTAACTCACAGACTTGGGAAGGAAAAAGAAAGGTAAACAAAGAGAAATGTAGTGTGCTAGGGGCTGTGACTGAGGTATGTATCTATGTACGTACCTGCTGTGGGATAAAGACAAGGGAAAGCAGCTTTTGATTTTCCTGAGACAGTCGGGGAAGGCTTAATGGAGGTGGTGACATTTGAACTTGGCCTTGAAGTTATCCTTCAAGAAATTCCAGGTAGAGAACAAGGGAAGTTCAGGCACAGAATGTGAAAATACAGAGCAAGTACAGGTGGCAGTGGGCTCCGAGTGGAGGGAGTAGAAACTCCTGGAAGATTTTAGAGAGGGGGATGACTAGATTAGGTTGTGTTTTTGAAAGACATCTTCACTGCTATGTGGGGGACAGATCAGAGGAAGGAGAGTCTGGAATGAGGGACAAAGAGTAGTCGGGAACCTGTGGCACTGGCCTGGGAGGGATGCTGTGGGTGTGAATTAAGGCAGTAGGAGGGCATAGAAGAGAAGAGGCTCTCTCCTAGTTAGAACTGGTAGGATTTGGTGTCAAATTGAATGTTCAGGAAGAAAAAAGGAAGTTGGTGAAGCATCTGGGGCATCTAAGCATAGAAGACCAGAAGAATGATGGTGTCACTGAGGTGGGGGATATAAGAGAAGAAGCAAGTTCAGGTCGGGAGAAAAAGGATGAACAACGTGTAGAGAACTTATTTTCTACATTCAGTTTCTGTCACATTCTCACACGGATGGGCACAAAGCAACAGGGGACGCCAACAAGCTAACCATCCTTAGAATTCTTTGGATGGGAAATTTTCTAACTTTGTTTCAGAACTTTAGTTATCAGGGAACCAAACTGTCACTATTTGCAAGATTTCTGTTTTTTTCAAGTTTGCAATAGATTGAAAAATTTTCAAAATTTTAATATAAGGATTATGCACTTTATCTAGATACCAACTTTACAGTTGCAAGTAAAACAGAAACAAGAAGTCTTTATAGTCAATTTTTCCTGCTCTTTAACAGCTAATGAGTGTGCTCGTTTATTGATCAAATGTACTTAGTTTTACAGGGACGAACATGGTTGATTTCTGCCTTACACATTTTACAGTTGCAAGTAAAACAGAAACAAGAAGTCTTTATAGTCAATTTTTCCTGCTCTTTAACAGCTAATGAGTGTGCTGGTTTATTGATCAAATGTACTTAGTTTTACAGGGACGAACATGGTTGATTTCTGCCTTACACACGTAATAAAGGAGAGTTCAAAAATCATGAGGAAAATGCTAGTGACTGCAGAAATTAGAGATGTAATATCTTTGCTTTCCTGAATAGGGTTTTAATTAGGCTGGGAAACTAATAAAAAAAAAATCCCTTAGCCTTCAAAATATTGGATTACTTCCCTTCTCCATTGTTCTTAAGGTGAGCTAGAAGTCCATTTGGATAAATTAATTCAATAGACAAATCAAATCTTAATCCAAAGGAACCTGAGAAGCCCTGTGCCAGTGGTGAGCTTCAAGTCAGGTTTGCTCCACTCTAGTTCTGGTCATTGGGCTCCTGGCATCTTCTGATGACTGAGCACCGGTTCCTTAGGGCCTCTTCTTGGTCCTCTGCACCTAGCCTCTAGAGCTAACTTTATTGTATTTTAATAAACCAGATAACAAAGAGACTTTAATTGGTCAGATTATCTGAGTTGTACATTATCAGTTCAAGGGTATTCATGGGATTTTTTTTTTTCCAAATGTCACTGGGATTAAAATAACAGGAAACCGGAGATGGAAGCATTAGAGAGGGGTAGACTTTGGCAGCTGCTGTGCCTACACTGCTGCAGAGGACATCCTGGATGGAATGGTTATTTAAGAAGATGGGGGAAGGGGAGAACAGAAATATCAGGTCTAAACAAATGCTACAAAGAGACAGCAACCTTTAGTATTTTGCCACTTCATTCTGTCCCTTGAAAAATGGCAACTTCTAGGTTTAAAATAAATAAAAATGTTCTAATTTGCATCATAACGTAATGTGTAAGTAAAATAGCACCAGCATGGACACAACTTAGAGGCAACTTGTAATAAATAATTATCTGTTTGATAGGGACAATTATGCTAATTTTGAGTGTATTTAAATAAGTATTCTTGTAGCTTATGCAAAAACACTCTTGCAGTTTTGGAAAGTCTTTTTGCCGAATGGCAACTTGAAGAGTTGAATTTTCCTGCTATGTCATATAGTTCATGAAGCAAAACTTGATATGAGGGTATAAGTCCTTAAAAATGCCCCCTACGGCTTCTACTGAAGCCACTTCTGGTATATATTTCAACACCCGTTTTTACTTAGTTGCCAGTCCATTCAGTGAAAATGAGAAAAATGTAGCAAGCACTTTTCTGCTAGAAGGCTTCTCAGTCTCCATAGTTTTCTATCATGCTTCATCGAAGAACCATCTACAGGAGAGCTCATTTCAGTTAAGGAAAAAAAATTCTCTCGGGGGCTTGAACATAGAATTACAAAGATGCAAGGCCAAAACTTTCATTTTCATTAGCTATTTGTTTCAAACTTAATTTTTTAAAACTAATTTTGATCTATAGACCTGATTATCTTAAGTTCTAAAACAGGCTATGCAACAACTGTTTTCTTCTTCTGGTGTATGTGGATTGAAGCCAAACATATGGCAAACTATACTATTACAGACGGATGTGGATGGACGGTTTCCTCCTCTGTGTATTACTTTCACTCCCATTACCACTGGCCTACAGCAGGAAACCAGCTGCCCAGGGTGGTGAGGCAAGAACTTCCTGGAGCATGCGCATTCATGCATACACCTTGGTGGCCACTTAAAATCAGAAGTAGTTTGCACGATGCATTTTGCAGGAAAAGTGGATGGATTAAAAAAAAAAAAGAGTTTGATTAGCAGTTTACTCCTATGTAGCTCAAACGTCCAGAAAGAATATTTTATCCCCACCCAAGATGCAAAGGCCCAGTGACACATGTGAAGAGTGACGGGGACCCTGACTTACCACACAGACTCCGGAGCCATCCAAACATTCGTTGGAATGACCATTACAGTCACAGGGCAAACAGTCTCCTGACAGGGTGCGGAAGAAACCAGCACCACATTTCTGTAATAGACACATCAAAAGCATTTTAATTATTGAAAAGATCAATTGTGGTCAATATTTTCTGAGCAAAATAAGAGGGTAATTATTAAACCATCTAAACATTCTTTACAAAACATACTAAAATGAATTATTTATACTACCATTTAGTGATGCATGATGTATACACAACCTTCTTTGTTCCATAATTTTTCCCTCTTCTTTCACTTTTCAGGAGAACAGGAACACCTTTAACACTGTTCCATCATTGTAAGGAGGAATAAGGTTTTAGGTAACAGTAAGGGAGAAACTTTTTAAATATTTTCTTCCACAACAAAACAAAACAAAAACATGACTGAATATTAGTCAGGGTGAGGAATTACATCATGCTCAGTATAAATAAAGACTTTTGGTTCCAGAGATTACTGGCTCTGGTGTAACAACTTAGAGTTGCGTCTTTCTTAAACGTGGGCTCTTAAAAAATTCTGTTTTTCCAGATCCTAACATTGTAAAGGGAGTGGTAATGAAGTTGATAAGCTCTTAGACTTGTCAGGTCCTGAGAGAGTGTCATTCATATATTTCATTTATCCTCATAACTCTTAGAGTAATACATTATTTTCCTCCATTCTAGCAATGAGGTAATGAGACTCAGAGATGCCAAATGGATTGTGGGGATGTCAAACCATCCTGCAATGCAGCAGTTGACCTGCACAATAATGAATTGTCCTCCCTCCTCAAATATCGCTGGTGCTCCAGCTGAGAAACATGGTGAAACTGTTCCCGGTTTATGTGATTGGGCTAATGGATATGTATTTGATATTTCTTTGGAATGTCTCAATGATACAGGGCAGAAACGGCATTATAGGCCTGGAAGCCCACCCCTGCTCATGAGACAGGCTTACATCTAAAGAATTCCAGACAGATAAGAATCTGGTTTGTTTCCATGGACTTAACAGAGTAGAGATTTCACATCATACCCCTCACCACCCCATTGACCTATTGTAGTTTGTACTCTCCTGGCTACCAGGAAATTTTTCATTATATCTGGGCCAAGTCCCTCTGACTGCTGTGCAAACCCATTTCCTCTTACTTAAACGTTCCAAAACAGGCTGTAATGGATAAAAAAATGTAAAATATCTCCTTTGAGCCCCAGGAAAATAATTAAAAATAGACATAATGCTTAAAAATATCTAGTTATTAATATATAAAAGCCACTGAGTGGTAATATTTACATTTTAGACAATTTATTTTAGCTAAGTTGTCATGTTGACCACTTTCCAGTAAATCATTTGTAGACCTCTCACAGCTCTCTATTATGAAGCGGCTCTATTTTACAGCTTGCCTCCTGCTCTGCTACTAAGATTGGATTAATCAATACCATTTACTTCTGCCTTTGAAGAATAAGAGTGGAAATTTCCATTAGTTTACCTTGTTATGATTAGTGTGAAATCTAGCTTGGAGTGAAAATCAATGTATGGGTGCTTGCCTAGTTTTATAGAAATAAGAATTAGATGGAACTTTAGGAAGAAATTAGTGTATCTATTGGCACTACTTACATTTAAGGGAACTGGGGATGACAGTATATGGTACTGTCATTGCAGAAAACATTATTTCCAGATGTCCATCATGTAATGACAATATTAATTATTTCATAAAATATAATTATAATGAATTAAGATTACTTTTTAACAAAAGGATAACATTTATACAACTGTTTGATCATCTTTGTCCTCATTTAAAGAAGTCCCCTTGAGAACACTAGATTCATACCAACAATAATGTCATTGTACAGAACATTTTTTGAATTTTCTTAAAATTTTTAAATCATGTTTTTTTTGAAGGATAGTCCAGTCTACATTCTTTGGGTGTGGCAAACTTCTAAAAATCATTTGGAGTTATTAAAGAAGATGAATACCAAGCTAAGTAATACAACTTTAGGTTAAAAACTTTCACAAAAATCTTAATGTTTCCCAAATACAGTCACAGAGAAGCTAATTAATTGACCACAAATTACTACTTTTTCACAGACACTGAATCTTTGAGAGCTTCAGAATTTCTGTTGAAAAGCATGATTGACTATTTAAATAATCTAATAGCATACTCTAGGAATCTAAGATCCCAAATTTCCTATTAAAACAAACCAACAATGGTTAAAATTGACAGGATTTAGGAAGAGCCTGAAATTGCCTTCTGAGGGTGTGAGATACATCCTGAGGTCTCTGAGTAGAATGCTTATGTCCAGCAGAGAATCAGACCCTAATTTCCAGCTCCAACAAATGACAACAAATCAATTATAATAAAATTTCATTACAAAGAGCACATTCTACAGCCCTGGTGCCTATCTATTCTAATAGCATTTGACCTATAATTGGAATAGATATTTGCACTGTATCTTAAACCAAGGATCTACAAACATTTTACAGATGTAAACTCCACTCATCTTGCTTTCTGAATCAGACTTTTAGAATTTTGATTCACCAACTTTTGCTGTAATTTACTGAGGCTCAAAGTGGAAAGCATACATACATTCATTTTTGTCTTCATTTAAAGAAGTCCCCTTGAGAACACTAGACTCATACAAACAAATCTGTCATTGTACAGCATATTTTTTGACTTTTCAAATTTCAAATGTGTGTACACATGTGTGTGTATATATATACACACACATACATACATATATAAACACATATATACATATACATATATATGTACTCCATCTACATTCATTCACTGGTGTCCAGAGTTATTGCTACCTTCCATATTAGTATTTTTTCAAATTTAACATTTCAACTATCTTTCTGATTAGGTTTTTGCATGTATGTAATAAACCCACTTTTCTCTTATTCCCAGGCAACAATGATTTTAGCTAGAGTTTTAGTTTTAGTGAGTTCCATTTTTTGTTTTAGTAAATGATAAAAGTCACCTTAAGATAGAATATTATGCTCACTTAGGAGTTAAAGCTTTGTGCCCTTACTCAGAGTCTATGCTGGCTTCCATCTGCTTAAAACTTGAGCAGACTGAAGAATCAGATAGCACTCAAAAATCTTATAGTGGAGACCAACACAATTTAATCTTTTCAAAATAGCAATTTAGTTTTTGCTAGGGTGAAATGACTTCTGAGAATATATTAATTTATTAAATGAGTAGGCATCTTACTGGCCTTTTTTTTCTCATGTAAAAATAAAAAGTAAAATACATGAGATGGAAATCCCAAGTTAAGCTATTGATCTTTTTGCCTCTCTATATTTTTTTTAGGTTGGGCTTAACATGTCCTGATTTTTCATATACGAATCTATAATCAAAGAGCTAAAAGCAGTTAAATGCATTATGCAAAGTGTTACAATTAGTAAGGAGTTATAACTGATTTTACTTGAATCTGGAGAGAATTATCTATGTATCCTCCCTTGGGTATCTCTAAGCTCTTGTTTGCGTAATTGAAATTCCCCACATTTTAATAGGTGAAGTTAATTTTTAGATTTTGACAGTGATTTCATCATAGCTTGATTAGGAAAGTGGTTTCAACATTCTTCAGAAGTTTATCCAGTTCAAAGGTATTTCTTATGATTGACATAAGAAAACTAGGTCTAAAGTTAAACACAGACTGTGGTGCTGTTTCTCCTGATTGGCTCTTAGAGCTACCTTTATGCTTATTGCTTAGGACCCATGTCTGCCATGCCTCGTGCAGGGTACAAAACACTCCAGTTCTCAATTTAGTCACCAAGGAAATTGAGAGAGTGACTCAGGTCCCGAGGAATTCCAAGGAGCACAGAGCTGTCTTGACCAGTTGTAAGTCGGGTCCATTAGTTTTACAAAGAGTGGAGAGAGAGTTATCATGGTATTTGCATCACATTTATAGAGCTTTTCCTCAGCACTCTTCATTGGGCTTCCTGGGTGCTCTCATGGGTGAAAATCAATGCTCCACTCACAGATCTCAAATAACTGTCCCCAAACCCTGCTCATCAAATGTTTATTTGGACTGTAGATATCAACAGACTTGGGTGTGTTGAAGTACTCACTACGCTTGCTAATAAAAAGCCCTCTCTATTTGTATAATTAAAAGGATCAAACAAGGAAGTTCACAGCCCCTAAAGCCATACAGGTTTTCCCTTTGAAATGTTGGATTTTGGGATGATTATGTTCATTAATACTGATGAACATTTAATTTTTTCATTGAAAAGTTACTTAAAATAATTTTTAAGTTACTCATTTATAGTAGTGATTGCCACTTATATAACATAATGAGGCTCCAGTGGTGCCTTTTTCCTTTAACTTTTTCTTGAAATAAGTCTTTTGCTGACAACTGGCTTTCTGCTCTGGGTTCTCTTCATGTTGCCTCCTGTAACTGGCTTGTTCTTTTCACTCCTCGTCTTCCGAGCTGTGGTTACACAACACAGCCTCTGCCAGATTTTTTTATATCTGAAAACTGACTCAGTTTTATTTGATTTACTAGGGCAAATGCCATGGACACATTTCCAAGAAAGGAAGAGATGTGGACCACAAGGGCTAGCAACAAGAACGAGTAGAGAGAGATGACTTGAGAGTTACAGGCATTTAGGGGATTGTGATATGACTCCTTAACCACTTAGGGGAATCAATGTTGTGAGATGACAGACATCTCTGTCATCTTCATCTGGGTTTTTATGAATAATAACAGCTAATATTTACTGACAGACACCAGGCACTGAGCTAAGTGCTTTTCATGGACTATCCAATTTCATCATTACCATTTAATGTCCCACAGGCTTGCAAATGTGTGCCTAAATTAGCTTTTATTTTTATGAGAAATTCAAAGGTTGAATTGTCTGTAAGTGACCATGACTTCTTTTCCGTGTACCCAGGGAAGGCAGCAGTGCCTTTCACTGGTCGGGGCATTTCATCAGTTTGCATTGCTGGGAGATGAACCTGCTTCTATCTTGTGGTACCCTGTGCACTTCAGTGCTACCCTCACCCTTGATCGCTCAAGATGTAAAGCAGAGAGTGACTGGCAGGACACGTCTTTCTTTACTTATGATCTTCCTAATGAG